CAATAAACTAATAAAAGGAGGGGGCATCAGTAGGACATTTGCCAGTTTTTTGAACGGGTTAAAATTGTGCGACTTCAATGTCATTGAAAACTGCCTTCCATATAGAAACCATTAAAACCGCTCCCTTGACCTTTCCCTTGAGGTTGTAGCTTTTTTGTTCTGCTGCAGGCAATTTTTTGGGCTAGAAAAAAACCTCCTGAAGTTCGTTACCCCATGAACGAGGACCCCCTGTCTAAAGGATATAACCCGGGCATAAAAAAAATAGAGAACAACTGTAAAGACAACAAATAACAGTTGAAGCAGCCCATATTTGCACGGGGGAATAAAAAGGGGAAACCCTTGAATATTAAATCTACTATGTTAAGGAAATACCTTTTCCCTATTTGGTTTGGGTTTAAGGGGTCCTTTAAAAATCAATATTCGTCCTCAAAAGGCGGGGTGGATTTTAGGGAGATAGCTTCTTTTCCCGATGAAATTTTTGGTTTCACCTGCACATACCTGCATCTCTGATCACTTTCGCACTTTCTTCCACTGAGAAAGGGCCCTGTTCTTTGATTTGAAAAAAAGGGAAAAGGCGTGAACTCCGGGGTGACACAAACCCTTTTGGAGCACGAAGTGATTGTAAATCATGACATGCTGCTCCACAGGGGGACCTAAAGAATGCATCAGGTGAGAATTTCTCTTACCCGGTCGGAAACCAAAATATCAAATTTCATAACAGGGATATTTTCCCAAATCCTCCAGCGAATTATCTTGTAAATTCTTTACCTACTTTTGTGTTTCCCTTGTTGAAAAAGTACATCACAACCGTTGGTCAGTCCTTAGGGTAAAAATTCTCCCTTTAAAAAAAATTCCCCCAGTGGCGAACTCTTCTATAAAGGGCCCCCTTGGGGTTTTTCCTTTTTCTACCACGAAAACTTTTCCCTCTGACCTTTAAAAAATTTTCTCAAAAAGAAGGCTATTGTCCCCTTTCCGGGGACAAGACTGCAGCAAGGGCCCAATGTCAGATCATCCTTTCCCCATTTCAAAATGGTAGGGATTCATAAAGGGCTTGAACTATTTTTTTTTTTCAATGCCCTTGTTTGAAAGTAGGGAAAGGGGCTTCTGCTTCTTTGTCACGGGGAAATGTGGTAGCACCCAAGGGGCGGAACTTTACTTGAATAGTTGTAGATCCATTGTGTTTAATAAGCAAAAAAAACCAAAGTTTTTTTGGGAGTGATTTTTTTTGCCCTTGAGGCTTTGGAAGGGTTCCCGTAGAGGCGTAGTCGTTCGGGGTCGGGAATATTGAACCTCCTTCCACTACATAACCAAGGGTGCTAAGCCCTTTTTGTTGAAAAATTGCACTTTTCCCATTGTAAAATGATATTTTTTTTTCTTGGCGGCTTTCCAAAAAATTAACAAGGATTGCAAAACATGTTCCCCCGGGCCCTTTCCACAAAAAGGTAACATTTTCTAAAAACGGCCCTAAGTTTTTCCCCTGAGTTTTCTCTTCCTGAATGAATGAAACCATAATTCGTTGGAAGCAGGCTACCCCAATTTTGGGGACTTTCCCAAAAAAGGGCTCTGGTAAAAAGATACAGGGGCCCTCACTAGCCTGAAATCTGTGAAGGTTTTTCCTTTATTCCCTTTTAGGGACTTGATGAAAAGGCACTCTGTAATCAATTGTGCTAAACACATCGTACTGACAATTTTTTTCACTGTATCATCAATTTGAGGGAGAAAGGGGACCCACAAGAAGTGTAAATTTTTGATTGTCCCCAAAAGTAATTTTTATTTGCCGCTCCCCCTTTTCCCATAATCATCTTTTAAAAACAACCCAAACCGTGCACGCCAAAGGGGAATTACCGGTTCTATAATACCCTCCTTTTAGCAGCCCCCTAGTTTTTCCCCTAGAACCCTCCGATCCCTAAAATAGCGGCGTTTACTTACTGATATAGGAAAGGCAATCCGCGGTAAATTTGGGAAACAGCTTTGGTTTGGGGCCCACCCTTTAAAATGCTTAAAATCCCAGAAAAACAAAAGAAGGCATTCACCTCCATATGTTAAGTGACACAACCCGGCAGCCTTTTGAAAGTCCTGACCAAGGATAAAAATCCCGAGCACAGTTTTGGGAGAATACTAAATGTACATCTTGATAATCTTTTTCCCTTAACTCTGAGATTTACCTTACAAAACCCAAAGGTCTGAAAAAAAGAAAAAGTTGATGGGCCCTGGAAAAGGTTTCCTGAAAGAGTGATGGGACAGTCAAGGAGTGGCGTTAACTAAGTCAAATTGATGAAACTCTCTGACTGCCACTAAAAATAAACCACAAATTCTTTTTCCCTTTTATGAATACTTTTACAAAAATGCCTTTGACAGTGAAATTTGGGGGTAGCCGCAGAAGTCAACCTTGGTTTTTTTTAAAGGGCGCATGATCACGGGAAAGTGTGGAGGCCCCTAGCTCTTGTTTATGCATTTAAACACGACTACTTTAACAAAGTGACCTTTCTTTTGGGATTTTTTACGGGACATTGCTTTTACGACAGGCCCCTTTGGACGTGGGTGTCTTGAAAAAACCCCAAAAGGAAAACACCCGAACCTGCTGCTGCGTCACTGAGACAGGTTTTCCCCCAAGTAACTTCATTGTAAGAGCTTGTCAGGGAAAAGCCCCGCACTTTTCCACTCAGAAGGCTGAGTGGGACTTTTATATTTCAGAAATTTTTCGGGCTGAATCTAAGCCTTCCGGTCAAAGGGAAAAAGGGTAAGTCGAAGTTTTATATTCTCCAGTAAACGCTGCCTTTTTATTTGGGGATTTCAAGGCCCTGATAAAAGCATCCCTTTATGGCTCTTTACAATAAAATGAGGGAGCTGTCACGCTTTGGGAAATGACAGTCCTTACCTAAAATTTTTAGTGCTTTAAGGTATTCCCCCTAATCCCCATCAATCTTTCGGCGGGGTTGCAGGCGAAAGCGTGCAAAAATTTTTATTTTTAGGGTTTTTAAAAACGAGACTTGAAAGGGTTTTTTAAAAGCAACTTTGAGGTATTACACTCAGAAATAGCCTCATAACCCCCTTTGGTGACACAAAATTGATGAGTAGACTTTTTTTAACTAGATCGTTTTTTGGGAAAGGGGCCCCCAAAAAGTTTTTCGAAAGTCTTAAACCCCTTTTTTTCCATTCCTAGCAAACCGTTTTATAAGCGGGGTCCAGTCTACCTCTCAGGGTTTTTGTAAACGCTCCATGTTGTGATGTAGTGTAGCTCAGGATCCCCACCAGGTAGCCCAGGATTTTTTCAAAAAATTTGTTTTGATAAAAAACACAGGCCTTTTCTAGGTTTTATTGAACTAGAATCTTCATATCTTTCTGCAACAAAAAATATAATATTGCATCTAATAATGCTTTAGGGGGAGGTGAGTCTTGCTTGTCAAGAGAAAAGTTTAACTACAGGCCACATATTTAAACTCCCATGTAATCTGCATCACTTTTGGGGATAGTAAAGAAGAGAATCAACCCATGTGTTGGCGCCCATGACACCCAAACGTTGTTGTGTAAAGGGCCCCAAGAGGTGGTGCAGTATTATCCTGCTGCTGCTCCCCACAGGACCAGTATCACTACAGTACTCTGATGAAGATTTAATTTCCTCGTGTTTACCATATCTGAGTAATTGAAATTTCTCATCGCTGAACTTCATATTGTTTTCTGCACCCCACTGAAAGTTTTGGGTTGATGTCCGCCTGGAGCCTTGCAGTGTCTGCAATGGAAGACACTGTCATGCAGATTCGGGTGTCATCTGCAAAGGAAGACACGGTGCTGTGGCTGACATCCTTGTCTATGTCGGATATGAGGATGAGGAACAAGATGGGAGCGAGTACTGTGACTTGTGGAACAGAGTTTTTCACCGTAGCTGCCTCGGACTTTACTCTGTTGACTACTACTCTCTGTGTTCTGTTATTGAGGAAATTATAGATCCAACAACCGACTTTTCCTGTTATTCCTTTAGCACGCATTTTGTGCACTATTACACCATGGTCACACTTGTCGAAGGCTATTGCAAAGTCTGTATATATTACATCTGCATTCTTTTTGTCTTTTAGTGCATCTAGGACCTTGTGGAAAATACTGTATATTTTCCGGAAATACGGTAATTTATAGGTAAATAGATGCCCTATATTGTATTTAATAAAAGTGTATTTTTAAAAAGAGGACAGTCGCCATTGTTAATTTGAATTGGATACAACGTTAGTGTAATGGGAAGGAATTTTCGTGTTCTAGAGGTTAAAATTGGGCTGACACCTCTCAAATAGGAGGCGAAATTTTTGGATGTGCATTCCTGCATAACTTGAGATATCAGACGACTGGACAAGACAGCTCCAGGAACCTCAGATAAGTCTTATGTAGTAACCTGGCCAGTGTTATTTTCATAGATAGACAGTGATGTTTTCTGAGTATGATACACATTAATAAATAATAAATAAATAATAAATAAATAAATAAATAAATCTCCAGTCAAATTGGTGAGTGATATTAAGATATTTTCCTTCTGTTATATAAATGTGTGTATATATAATCCTTTTTTAATTTTAATATACAGTCCACAAATTTATATATTTACCAGTATTCCTGGAGATGTATAATTCATTTAATTAATAGGTCCAGAGCAACTTGTGGATATGACAGTGGTAGGTATCGAAGGGGGACATTTTTTGCGACCTAGGTGTCCCATATTCCTACTTGTCTAATTGATAAATAATAATTATCTATGTTCATTTACTGTTATGTATATAATGATACATTCAGATAAATGCAATTTTCCACAGCTACAATGCTAGGTGCATGTGAACGCTAGTCCCAGGTGTGTGTAAACACTACAGTGTTAGGTGCGTGTAAACCTTACAGTGCCAGGTGCGTGTGAACCTCGCAGTCCTTTATGCATGTGAACCCTTCAGTCTGAGGTGTGTATGAACTTTTCGGACGACATAAAGTAGCCTCTGAGGTAGTACAAAGTAGCACAGTTAGTGTGGTATTCTGAATGGGTTGAAGAGTTGGCAAGACCTCGAGACCGGCTGAGCCTTTCAACCCAACAATAACATTGTTACCATGGTGTCCAAATTTTGTAAATATAAACAATGTGTCATGCTGCGTCTCATTTTTAAAACTCGTTTTGACCTCATGACAGCTCTTTCAGAATAAAGTAAGTCTGCTCAGCTCTTTTCGGTGTGCATTTTATGGTAACTTACATAGTGTTTGGATGAGTAATATGTCCGAAAACCAAAATTTGCCTTGTTTGTAGGCCAGGACCTCTTGGAAGAGGCTTCTTGGCGAGGTGAAGAGGCTCTTGATCTGAGGAATTAGACCTTTTGGTATCCTTCCTCAGACCGAACCTCATTACCCCCCAATCCCCCTCCCTATCCCATTCCCCCTTTCCCTTTCCCCACTTCTCTCCCGCTCCATGTTTTAAATATGGGTTCTCCCATTGCACTGCTGTATAAGCCTTGTGGTTTAGCGCTTCTTTTTGATTATTATAATAATAATCCACTGTACTAGACTTCACCTGGTCTCTCCTTCCGGACTTACATGACAGCAATCATTTTCCAATGATTTTACTTCTCCTTGATATTGACCGCGTCTTCGTAGTCCTTGCTGGCAGTTTGATCGAGCAAATTGGGACCCTAACTGCTTTTAGTGAGGTTTCTTCTTCATTATCCATTGATGAGTTTTTACACCCCTTCTCGACCTCAGTTTTAACTGCAGCTTCACATACCCCAAACCTCGGGTAGGCATTTTCAAAAGTGCGTGCCTTGGTGGTCTCCTGCTTATGCTCGGGCAGTACATTTGAAACACGCTGCATGGGGCAGGTACCAGTAAAATAGAACCACAGAGAGACTCCTTGATTTTAAGCAGAAGCAAGTGGGTGCTCGCCGTGTCATCCGTGACACTAAACGCACTTGCTTGCGAGATTATGTTTCCACCATCACCTCTGCTTCCTCTGTGAGTGCAGTTTGGAAAAGAGTACGGAAACTGAGTGGCAAATACTCTCCTGACTCGGCTCCCGTTCTTCGGGTTGCCGGTGTTGATATAGCAAACCCTCTTGATGTTGCCACCGAAATTGGTAATCATCTATGCCCCTCGTTTCATTCCTCAAAGTCTGCCAGAGAGTTAGAGCCCTTAAAATTTTCTTCTGTTGGAGAAAAATCTTATAATGTGCCTTTATACTTCTGGAACTGGAGGCAATGTTCTTTAATCTTATTTGGTCACAAGTTCTTCCCCAGCTGTGGAAATCTGCCATTGTTCTCTCTCTCCACAAACCGGGTACTATGGGACATGATGCCTTCCACTTTCATCCCATTGCTCTTACCAGTGCAGTTTGCAAGGTGATGGAACGTCTGGTAAACTGACATTTGATGTGGTATTTTGAGACACACAACAGTCTCTCCACAAGTCAATATGGCTTTTGTAAAGGTCGTTCTACCATTGATCCCTTACTATGCTTAGATATATATGTCTGTAATGCCTTTGCCAATAACTACTCAGTTATTGCCATCTTTTTTTGATTATAAGAAGGCATATGACACTACTTGGAGGTATAATATCTTGGTCCAGGCCCATTCCTTAGGCCTCCAAGACAATCTCCCATTTTTTCTTAAGAACTTCTTAACTGAAAGACATTTCCATATCCGGGATAATAATATGCTTTCCCCGGACTTTCTCCAAGCTGAAGGTGTCCCCCAGGGATGTGTTCTGAGCACAACACTTTTTCTCCTTGCTATAAATGATATGGCCTCTGTTCCTCCCTGCAATATTTGGTCATCGCGCTATGTTGATGACTTTGCTATAGCTTGTGCAGGTGCTGACTGTCACCTCATTGCAGTTTCTCTCCAGCATGCTGTCAACCGTGTTTCCAATTGGGCCACCACTCATGGGTTTAAATTTTCTAGTAGTAAAACTCACCAAATTACTTTTACTAGACGTTCAGTCGTCTCTGATCATCCATTGTACCTATATGGCTCGCGTATCCCAAAACATGATACGGTCAGGTTTTTCGGCCTTCTGTTTGACCATAGGTTATCCCGGAAACTTTACATTACCTCTCTGAAGGCAACTTGTCATAGCTGGCTGAACCTTCTTAAAATCCTTGCTCATCTTTCATGGGGGTTGATCGTAGAACTCTTCTTCACCTACATTCAGCCCTAATTTTATCAAAACTCTATTATGGTGACCAGATCTATTCGGCAGCCTCTCCTGCTACTCTCTCTAGCCTTAATCCCATCCATCATCAGGGATTACGTTTATGCCTCAGTGCTATTCACTCTTCACCAGTCGAGAGCCTTTATGCAGAAGCGAATATTCCATCCTTGTCCGATCGTCGTGATGCTCATTGTCTTTGCTATTATGTTCACTCTCATGACCTCCGCAATCCTTCCATATATGTATAGGAATAGTCACTGATGTTAGTAGACATTATTTATTCGTTGCCCCTGTTTATTCCATCCCTTTTCTCTTTGCCTAAATTCGCTCTAGTCTTCTCTTCAGTTACCACCTTTCTATGTTCGTGTAGCATCTCACTTTTCCCTACTCCCTTGGGAAGTTCCAACATTCGTGTCTGTTCTTTTCCACTGCCATGCGTGAAAGCCGAACTGCCTATGGTAACTTCCAGCTCTCTCTTTCCTGACCACTTCCGCTCTCATTCTCATGCCATCGCAGCGTACACTGATGATTCTAAGTCTTCTGATAGCATCAGATTCGCAGCAGTGTTTCTGGACAGTGTCGTGCAAGGGCATTTATTATCCTTGGCTAGCATTTTTACGGCTGAATTGTATGCCATTCTTGTAGCACTTATCCGTATTGCATCTCTGCCTGTGTCACCGTTTGTGGTCGTTTCAGACTCCCTTAGTGCTTTACAGCCTATACAAAAATTTGATACACCTCACCCCCTAGTTCTTCATATCCAACTTTGGTTATGCCGTATCTCTACCAGGCACAAAGATATTTTTTTCTGTTGGGTCCCTGGTCATGTTGACGTATAGGGCAATGAACAGGCAGACACTGCTGTGCAGTCAGCAGTACATGACCTCCCAGTTTATTTATTTATTTATTTATTTTATGTCTTTGCAAATAGTACATTGAGATTTTGTATTTACAATAGTGGGTTGCAATGCAAAGAGAGCCTCTATTATGCCTAGGCATTATGGGCCAACTTAACATTATTGGCTTACAGTCATATCAAGGTGTTCCATTCATGGACTATTTTGCTGTAATTGCTACCCACCTTTGCACCCATTGGCAACAACATTGGTCTGATCTGCTCCATAACAAACTTCATTCTATTAAACTGAGTATAGGTCTCTGGCCATCTTCTTGTCATCAGTGTCAAGGTTGGGAGACTACTCTTTCCTGTCTTCGCATCGGCCACACTCGTCTTACTCGTGGGTATTTCATGGAGAGGCACCCTGTTCCTCTCTGTGAGAATTGTCAGATTCCAGTATCTGTTAGCCACATTCTGCTGGACTGCCCTCTCTATCAACGAGAGCGCAGAATTTACCCCCAACATCTTCTCCACTCTGCTGCCCTTTCTTTACCTTCCCTTCTTGCTGATGGACCTTCCTTTAAGCCAGACTCTCTCTCTCTCTCCCCTGCTCTTCCTCATATACATCAATGATCTTCCAAACATATCTCAACACCTGAACCCCATTCTCTTTGCTGACGACACGACTTATGTCATCTCTCACCCTAACCTTGCCACCCTCAACACCATTGTTAATGAGGAGCTGATCAAAATATCGACTTGGATGACAGCCAATAAACTTACGCTTAACACTGACAAAACCTACTACATTAAGTTTGGTAGCAGAGCAGGAGATGCGCAAATTAACATTAAGATCGACAACACTCTAATTGCCAGGCATAATGAGGGCAAATTCCTAGGCCTATACCTCGACAACAACCAGAACTTCAGCACCCATATCCAACACATAACCAAAAAAGTATCCAAAACGGTTGGGATCCTCTCCAAGATACGATACTACGTGCCGCAAACTGCCTTTCTCACACTATACCATTCACTTATATATCCATACCTCACCTATGCTATCTGTGCTTGGGGTTCAACTGCAGCAACACACCTAAAGCCAATAATAACCCAACAAAAAGCCGCAGTAAGAATAATCACTAAATCCCATCCCTGGCAACACACCCCCCACTCTTCATAGATCTAAACTTACTCCCTGTTCAGTACATCCACACTTACTACTGTGCAATCTACATCTACAGGACCTTAAATTCCAATATTAACCTTGACCTAAAACGCTTTCTTGATAGTTGTGACAGAACCCACAGGCACAACACCAGACACAAACATCTCTATGACATTCCCCATGTCCGACTAAACCTTTACAAAAATTCAATGTATGTCAAAGGCCCTAAAATCTGGAACACCCTACCTGAAAATTCTAAAACTGCAGACACATTCATCACCTTCAAAACTACCATCAGAAAACATCTTATCTCCCTGATACACCCTGTCAACTAATTACACGAATACCATCTGGTGGTTAACACTTACACTCACTCACCCATTTGACCATAAACAGAAATATCAATCTCATTCTCAAAATAATGAATCTTAACTAGTCATAAGTTGGCCTGTGATACTCCAATACTGAAACTATGTATAGTGCCAAAACAAAAGCATTCACATTGCTAAACTCACAAACTAGTATTTAGTCACTTAGCCATAATACCAACTTACCTCATAATTTTGTAATATTTTAAACTTAAGATTTAATTTAAGTCTGCCCGAAATGCCTAGCCATGCTAGGTGTTCTAGTGGTACACTCTGTAATTATTATTTTACTACATGTAAACCACACAATAACTAAATTCTGTAAACTCAGCATTGTAATCCTTATAGAGAATAAACTCTGAATTGAATTTAATTGAATTGACTTTTTGACAGTAACTAATTTACTACACAAACTCTGATGATGCCTCTAGCAGTCCCCTCAGTCCTTTCTACATCAATCTCTTGCTATCCTCTACTCCTGCACTATCCACTGCTCCGCTGCACTCCATAACCTACTAATCATCTCTCTCCCTCTTGCTACCCAATACCCTTGCATCCTTCCCTGCCCTGCTGCGCTGTATGACCCTTGTGGTTTAGCGCTTCTTTTTTATTATAATAATAATAATGTAGGCCAGGATAAGTAAGTTTATTTAGGCACAGTACACGTAAGTACAGTTATCACACATAGTGTAAATTACCTAGGATAACCCCCAAAAAAGTCAGAATAACTTATTTCCATTGAGGTCCTTGAGGATATGCAGAATGCTGAAGGCAGTGTAAACCAACTGAAGTTAAATCACGTTTATAATATTGCTCACTAGCAGTGTCCAGAATATCTTGCTGCCAAGTATATAGGCAAGTACAAATAGGAAGCAGGTCTGTTTCACTCTCAGCAGGAGGAAGATCAAGCCTTCACCATGTCTGGAGCTCGGTGACCCACATGAGTTGAGCGCCTAACATGAATTGAACAGTCAATGAATTGCTGCCCAGTTTGTCAAGGTTGAGAACCAAAACTAGTGTGATACTAGGGGAAGCGAAGACAGTGGAAATAAATCACTGTCAGACTTTTTTTTGAGTTATCCTGGTGGGTAATTTACACTATGTGTGATAATTGTACTTATGTGTACCTGTGCCTAAATAAATTTACTTACTAGGGGAGGTTGAAACAGTTTTGTAGTACCATCAGTAGGTGGACAGGCCTTCAACACCTTTTATTGTACAGCACTAAAGGAATGGAACATATTGTCCACACATGTCAAAGTCTGTCCTAGCATGAGCCGGTTCAAGAAGGGAGCTAAAAGGTACCTAATGAATGAAGCTACAGAAAGGGAAGAGAGTGACTTCTTGTATAGTTAACATTTATGTACCTGTTATTGTAAGCTGATCCTCTCTTTAATGTTCATGTAAATAACTCTGTTTACTTTATTCCTAGTAGTATATCTCCTTTTACTGTAACTGATTTTAACACAGTTGAGTTACTTAGCTGACTGATTTCTACTGTAACTTACAGCTAGGCTTTAAATAATAAGCTATTACAAGGACCCCATTGGAAATAAGTCACTTAGTCTGCCTTTCTTGGGGTTGCCCTAGGTAATTTACACATATGTACTAGGTATGATAATTGTACTTATGTGTACCTGTACCTCAATAAACTTACTTAATCGTGCCTTTCCCATTACAGTGTCAAATTTCATAGTTCAGAACACTTGACTTAACCATCCATGTAATTTACACATGTAAATACACAAAGCATATTTGCTTTTTATTTTCAGATTACCTCTGAGGTATATTCATCTCTGGAAACAATGGCAAGTAAAGTACAATGAAGACAACATTTGGAGCTATGTCACCTGGCAGAGCTGAAGGTATTCCTTCTGCAGTAGAATTCCCCTCCCAACGGAGAGAGACAATCGACTGGCATAAACTGGCTTCTGTAGACCTCCATGAATTGTCCTCAGGATGTAGTATAGAGGTTCTCCAAGATCATTTGTCATACATAACTTTCTGTGATGCAGAATCAGAATTTGATATTGGAACAAGTACGGGCCAACGAAATCTTCTCAAGATGTTTCGCTTAGCACAGCTCATTATTCAGTACCTCTTCCTGTCCCAGGAGTTTATTGAAACTCAACTTAAAGTGGCTCAGGATGAACTTGTACAGATTACAGAAAAATATCAGCAGGTAAAATATTTATTCTGCCATTAAAGTTAGTTAATGTGTTTTATAGAAGTGAAGGTTTGGCTTGTTTCTGAATGTTATTTTTTTTATGATTCTTCTAGACTTTCTATGAAATGACCCAAACATATTCAATACTAATAATTCTTTTCTTTTTTTTTTTAACATCTTAGGACCTTCATTTTTAGGACACCCATCTTGAGCTTAACTTTAAAATTCTAGGTCTCATATTTAATTTCTTGTATGACATCCTGTTTCACTAATCAAAATTTACTTGATGAATAAAACTCCATAAGCTTATAACAAACTTTATAAAGTGGAGTACAGTATGTTATACAATTAGGGTATGTAACATATATTGAATAAACTACTTTATAGAAGGCCCCTTATTATGCAAGGCATTTTGGGCAGCCTTAAAACTAAATTCCTCTTCAAGGGGGGCTCCTTGGCATGGTGAAGAGGCTCTTGGTCTGAGGAATTAGACCTGTCAGTCTCCTTCCTCAGACAGAACCTAATTACCCCCCAATCCCCCCTTCCCTATCCCATCCTTCCCTTTTTCCTTTCCTCCTCCTCCTCCCCACCCCTCCCTTTTGCCCTTCCTTTTTTTGGCCTTTGGAATTTTCCCACAGGCATGCTAGTTCCTAGGTAGGGGAAAGGGTACTGGGGTCCATCCCATTCCGTTGAGGTTCTTGGCGGTGGCGTAGTTTACCATGGAATCTGGATCGCCTGGGGATGTCCCGATCCCTCTCCGGTATCCCGGAGGGTGGCTTTGGGTGTCTTTCGGGCGACAGGTGTATCTCTGGAAGCCACCTTTCAGATTCTGGGGGTGGTGGCAGAAGGAGGTATGCTTTGTGGCTGATATCCGGCCGCCCTCTCTTTTGTCCACCGAGGTAGCTCGGCAGATGTGAGGTTGCTATCCTGGATTGCTGGTTTACTGGCACGGGTTCCATGCTGCATCTGCGCTACTTGCGGTGCTGAGGTCCACTTGGGCACGGAGGGAGATTTCTGGCCCTTTCATTCCTCCTAGGAACTATCCCAGCCCCGGTGCCCCCTTTTTTATTCTTTTTTTTTTTGTTTTTATTTTCTTTTCTTTCTTTTTTTTCTTAAAAACAAAAAGAAAGAAGTAACCTAACCATGGAGTCCCCAATCCATGACCCCGCTACCTCCGGGCCCCTTATTGTTACCGCACCCCGTTCTGACCTCACCTCGTCTTTTGGCCACTCTTTGGACACTCCTAAGACCCCTGTACCTCTTGCTGGTGCTGTTTCGTCACCCGCTTCAGGTGCCGGGGTTTTGACTGACTCCTTCGATTTGTCTGACCTCCGCTCTCCTTTGACTTTACTTCCAGCCTCTCCCTCTACGGTGCGACAATTTTCGAATCGCCAGCCCATCCCACATCGGACCAACTCTGGTCCCACTGCTAAACGCCAACGACAATCTCCTGATGATGTTACTTCATTACCTTCCCATTCTACTCGGAAAAGACCGACACGTCATGCACTCCCTCTCCACACTCAGTTTCGAACCACACAATGGACTAAATTCTTTACTTTAAGACCAACTTCTTCTACTACCATAGTATTGGCAAAGCGCTCCTACGCCATGTTGGTAGAGATATTTCCTTTCATGCTCTTAAGAGTGGTGCGCGTATCATCACAGTCCAGAATGCTACCCAAGCTCATGATCTTTCTCTTCTTTCACATATCGATACTATTCCTATCACTATTGAAAAACATCATTCCCTCAATTATTGGAGTGGTACTGTCATTCTGCCCCATACCATAGTCCAACAGAATTTCCAGACATGTGGCAATGACATTCTCGAACAGCTGGAACTCCAAGATCTCCCAATTCTCAAGGTAGACACTTATGTTCTTCCTGCCCGCGGGCGGAGACGATACCCTTGCAATGTGGCTTGTTTAACTTTTGACAGCCGTGAACTCCCATCCTCTGTTTATGTAGCAGGACATCGGTTACAAGTTCGAAAGGTGATCCCTACACCACAACAGTGTAGAAATTGCTGGCGATTTGGCCATCCAGCAAAATATTGCAGATCTATAGCCGAATGCCCAGTCTGTGGTGCCAATGACCATTCATTAATATGTCTTGCAATCGACCTCCCTCTTGCCTTAATTGTCATGAGGCTCACCCTTTGTACTCTCGCCGTTGCCAGGTCTACTTGAATGAGTGGGAAATTTGTTGCCTCAAAGAGGCAGAAGGTCTCCCTTATGCTATGGCGGTTTCTCATTTCCGCCTCCAAGGGAGACTACCCCGTGTTTCTTATTCTTGTGTTTCAAAACGTCCCCCCACTTCCGGGGTCCCATCTTCTGCAGCCTCCTCTTAAGGAAGAATTGAGGTTGGCGAATATGGAAATTCGGCGACTGACCGAGGAAAACAAAAAGATTTGGAGTAGTCCTCCTGTTTTGAGTCCTCAGGTCAAGAAGGGAAACTGGTCAGTGGCTGGACAGCAGGGAAAGAAGTTGACGATCAAGAAGACGAATGGAAAGGTAGAAACGATGAAGAAGAAAGAGACTGCCGTGGAAACTGTTGTGGAAACATCCAATACATTCTCAGTGCTACCCGACGAATGTGAGTCGACTACTGGGAACATCACGACGAAAGACATTAAGGAAGGTAAGAATATTGTTGTTCTTGGGGATAGCCAAGTTAGATATATGGATAGGGCGTTCTGCTTGAAGGACAGGAGTAGGAGACAGAGTTTGCTTTCCTGGGGCTGGGATGGAGGATATTGTTAGCCATCTGGATGACATCATGAGAGGTAATGGGAGCAATCCTATTATCTGTCTCAGTGCTGGAGGCAACGATGTTGGCAGACGTAGGAGTGAGGACCTGATTAGCAGGTATAGGTCAGCAATAGAAATAATTAGAAGTAAGGGTGGGAACCCTCTCATATGTGGTATTTTGCCAAGGAGGGGAGTTGGAAATGAATGGTTGTCCAGGGCAATTGGTGTCAATTGCAGGCTGGACAAATACTGTAAGGAAAATGCAGTAACATTCATTGACAACTGGGACCTCTTCTATGGCAGAAATGACATGTATGCTAGGATGGGGTTCACTTATCTAGGTGTGGGGTGGGAGCACTGGCAACTGCAGTGGAGGGAGCAGTTAGGACTTTAAACTAGGAATAGTTAGTGGTATGGGTTTTGGCAGGAAAACAGTGAAGTCCCAGTGTAGTAATATTACGAGTTCTAGGGGAACTAGTAATAATAAGAACGAGATAGATATTGAAAAGCCAGGGACCTTGGGTGATAAGGACAGTAATAGGTTTAGTAGAAAAATAGAAATGAGCAGGAAGGGTAAAGAGAAAGGAGAGTCTTTCAATGTTTATTATGCTAATTGCCGTAGTGCTAGGAATAAGATGGACGAGTTGAGATTAGTTGCTAGTGTAGGTAACATTGATGTATTTGCCTTAACTGAGACGTGGTTTAACCCTTTCAGGGTCCGTCCCGTAGATCTACGGCTTTACGGTGAGTGTCCAAACCGTAGATCTACGCCATGAGCTCAGCTCACTCTGATAAACTGTGAGTGGTACATTTGGGCCTAGATATGAGAGAATACATCTATGTGGTATGTGTGCACCACATAAAACAGATCCTGCAGCACACTGTGTATAATGAGAGAAAAAAAATGAAATCATGATTTTTCGATTAAAACAGCAACTTTGCAGTGTTTTTTCGTATGTTTTTTATAGTTGTTTTTTGCGATTTTTTGGGCCCCTCATTTGATAAAAAGGGAAGACAAAATTACAGAAAAAAAGAGAGTTTTGATTGGTTTTAGCACGGAAAAAGGGCTTGAAACTAAAGCCCCAAGTACGGGAAATTTTAAAATTTTTTTGCCATATTCAAGAGTAAACAAAGACCTCACCCCGTCTAATACACGTCAGCGGGTGGGCTAATAACATTAAAAAATTAGGGTTGAGGAAATTTTTTTAAAATTTTATTACAGTATTGAAAAACATAAATCTTTTTTTTTTGGTGTGGAAAAAAAATTTCATTAGGTGAATAAAAAATAAAAGGGGGAAAATTTTTTTTTGTAAAGCCTCAAAACATTTTCTAATAAAACCGGGGAAAATGTTAGTTTTTGTGCCAGGAATTCTACATTTTTTAAATTTCTGGACCCAAATTTTAAAATTTGGGAAAATTTTTGGGGAACTTTGTTTTAAAAATTTGGGCCCAAAATTTAAAAATTTTCCCCGATCACTTTATTTTGTATTGAAACAGTTGATTTGGCAAATTTCTTGTGCTCAACCTTTTAAAAATTAGAAGAAAAATACAGTGAAATAAAAAATTTTGGGTTGTTTGGGAATTTAATGTAATTTGGCCTAAAAGGGGAAGTAAAAGTCGGCAAAATCCCCCGGTTGGGTAAAAAATTTCGCTGAAACATAAAAATTTCCCGGGGAGAGCAAAATTTTCGTAAAATTTTCCCCCAAAATTTTCGTCCCTTTTTGTTTTTTTAAACTTAAAAAAAAAAAAGGGTTCTTACGATTTAATAAGAAAAAAAAAAAATTTTTTTTTTTGAAAATTTTTGGGACATGGTGCATAAATCCATTTTTGGGGCCCTTTGGGAAAACCCAAAAAGGGTTAATTCAAAAATCGGGAAAAGCCTGCGGAAGGGTCTATTCGGGGTTTTTAAATTGTTCCAAGAAGATAGAAGTTTTGGGGAGGGGGGGGGGGTGGCATTGTAGGCCGCGATCGCTTGAACTGTTGCAAAAAAAACGGGTTTAAAGGGCTAAAAAAAAACACATACAGATTTGTTTGGATAGAATTTTCAAGGGGCTTTGAAAAACTGATTTTAGGAGTGATATCCCCGCCCCCCCAAATTTAGTTTGGGGGCCCAAAGGGGAAAAATACTATGGGGGGAAAATTTTTTAAGGCCACAAGGCACGATAATGTGTACATGTAATTCAAGGAGATTTTAAACTTTAGTCTTTTTATTTGGAATTTCTTGTTTGGGGAAATTTTAGAACCCATAGACTTTTTTGAAGT